CTCCGTCTGCCCTCACAGGTCGACCACCTCTCCTCCTGCCTCTTCTTCTTCTGTGGATTTCAGCCCGACTCCCCGACGTGCTCCTGCTGTTCGAAATAAAACTGTTAGTAATGCAGCAGGCTGCGTGCACATGCACGATTCTCCGCTCACATTCATGTCAAACAAAGATGCATTTTTAAGCTTGTAATGATGGAGGAGAGCTGGTGTTCGTGCAGCTTTCAGAGGCTGTTTTGTACCTCGGTGCTCTCTGCGTGGGCTCGTTTGATCTTTACACCAAACTTCGCCTCTTGAGGCCTCATCAGTTCAGCCTCCGCCATCGTCTCCACCCTCAGACCCCGTCACCGCTCTGTGAAGCTGGTCTCTTATTTATGTTCACGCAGCAGCTTCAGACGCACAGACTCAGCCAGCGTCCTCTGCAGCAGCATCGAGTGAGTTTACACTGACACCAATGCTGCCTGTTCTTCCTCACATCACAGCGTTTCTGACCTTTCTTCGGTGTGTGCAGCGCTGTATCACAGCTTTGATCTGCATATCTGTAATGCTGCTGTTGTATAATCAGCTTAGCAACGATGAACATGAACCTGAAGAGAACAATGACTCGCTACAGTCCCTCCCTGCTGATGTGCTTTGTGTGCCCATGTTAGTGTTTTAATATTCATTGCGTTGCAAATAAAAAGTGTCTGAACTGGGCGAAGCAAACAGGTACAGCTCTGTGGAAACTAACTCTTCTTAAATCATGAACGACCTGGAGCTAAGTCCAGTTTCACTGCCAGGCCTGGTTTAAGTCCAGACTTTGGGCCAATCAGAGGCGGAGCTGCTGGTTCCTGCATGGTTCCCTGAGTCACAGCAGCCAGATGTCACACGACCACCGTGGCTGCTGCTGGGATGTTTCTGGATGAAACGCAGAAAGTTCAGCTTCTGTCTCGTCAGCCCTCAGAATATCATCCTCCAGATGTTTGTTGGCAGATGTGCGACGAGACTTTGTGATCTTCTTGGTCAGCGGTGGTTTCTGACTATCCGATCTTTGCCCCGCCTCTTTCTTACTGTTGACCTCTGACCTTATCTGAGCCAGGTGAGTCTCTTCTGTGACCTCCACAGCCTTAGAAATGTCTCTGTAGCCCTCTCAGGCTGATGATGTCACTGATCTTACCTGTGATGTCAGTGATCACAAACAGCTGATTGCAGTTCTCGCTGCCAACGATGACACAACCAGTTATCAGGTTTAAGAGGCAACGCCATCACAGGGCAGCGAGGTTTGGAAAGCGTTTGTTCCCCTAATAAACAAAATCATTGTGTAAAAACTGCCTTTTGTGTTTACTCAGATTATCTTTGTGAGACATTATAAAGAGCAGATGTTTCAGCGACACAGCGAGGAGCTTCTCTTAAACTGAGTCTGAAGTCACATCCTGATGTTTTTCCCTCAAACTGTCATCAAA